AATCACTTGATCGAGTAGTTATCTGTCTAGAATCCAAAATTGTCGTGAGCGTGCGCCAATCACCTTATGGTTGAAATAATTTGTTCTCCTTTTACAATTTGATGTGAATTGAGAGGCGATAAATCTATATGCACGGACCTGGTCCGCCAGGTTTCTAAGGAGTAATTCTTCTTTATCTATGAGAGGCGCTCTGCCTTTGCGATAAGAGAAACTAATTGGTTGAACATACAGTTTCAGGCCATTGACAGTTGGTCGTGTGAGCCTGCTCGATTTCTTTTGTTGTTTGTGAGACAATGTTGTGATTCATGTTTGCATATTTTTGATGTACACAAATGATTATGATGAGACACAATCTATATACACGGCTCAAGCCTAACTGAGCTATGGATTTACTCGTGTTTGGCTCCTTTGAAATTAATTAATTTAAATTAATTAAAAAATAGATGTAGGTGTTAGGATTAGAACTTGCACCATTCGAGAGGGCCGTAAAAAAGCTCGTAATTCACAAACAACTCATGTTCGGCTTCTTAAATAATTCGTGTTGGATTCGTTTGTTAAGCAAGCGAGTCAAACATGAATAATATTTTTTGCGCTCTATTTATAAACGAGCCGAAAATGAACACATGCTTTTTCATTCGTGTCCAACTCCTTTTGACTCTAAATAATTAAATAAGAATCTTTATTTATTTACTTTTTATATTTTTTTTATGCATTTTTTTTAATTATTTGGATAGTATAATTATAAAAAATTTAAGTAGCTGTTGGATATGTAAAATAGGATTTGACGGCATGTATGAACCTACTGCCCTTCATTCGTTAATGAGTATCATACATGTAAATAAGTAGGATTTGACTGATTTGTATGTAAATGCTCCTAAAAAAAACTAAAAATCCCGTAGAAGCTAAAAATCCCACATCTGTAATGTAAATAGAGAGGATTGATGGTATGCATGTAAATTTCCTAACAAAAATGGAGCCGTCGATGGGAGCCATTATTCTGTGCGGATAGTGGTGTCGTCTAATGAGAATTTTTTTTTTAAAATTTAAAATTGGGGTCCACTGACATACGCTTTTAGCAGGGGAAATATTTTGATTGATTCACCGGACGCATTTCTGCATATAGTTAATGTACCTAATAATTTTTCCAACAATGGAGAGGGGACATTGCTTTAAGAAACACCTTATGAAAATAAAAAATAAACACTTTAATATAAGGAGAAAATAAACTTTTTCTATATTCCCGATTAGGTTCAATAAAAATAGATATTTTTTAATTTAATAATAATAAATAATTAAAAATATTTTCTAATCTTATAAAATAAATAAACTAAATTTGAGAGGAGCTCCAACAGAAGTTTAATATGAGGCTTGTTCAAGTTCGGCTTGTTTGCACCCGTATTTCATATAATAAAAAATGTTGAATCATATGATCACACGGACTATCATAAAAATTTCATATGATAGATATAAATATATATAAAATATTATTATACAAACAATGTATATAATTTTTTTTATTTAAGGCTTTAAAACAAGTTAAATATAATCAAAATGATATAAAGCCCTAGGTTTGAACCGCACCACAGGTCCCGGCAGTCGGACCGGCTCCATCAAACGGCTACAATTTCACTGATCGATTTCAATCAGATCGAATCGTCGGCGTAATATCGAGCGGCTCCTCCCCGGCTTTCAGTCCTCCTATTTTCCAGCAGCCTATACCTTTCTCTACATTACTCCATTAACGGCGGCGGGCTCTCGGCGGCTTCTTCTTCCCTCTCTCAGGCCGGCGAAGTTGCCACCGTTATGAGCCGCTACGACGGCCGCTCCGGCGACCCGACCTCCTACCGCGACAGGAGAAGGTAACCCTAACCACCTGTTGTTGACTGCCTTCCGGAACTCTTCAAGATTGCGTTCTTATTCTCATTTCTTCCCATTTTTCAGCGATGTGGGTTACAGTGATGGGGGCCTTTCGAGCCAGAGCAGGAGTTATAAATCCTCTAGCGTGAAGGAGACTGAAAGAGTGGTGGATTTGGATGGGTTGGTGCCGTTCGAGAAGAACTTCTATAAAGAGTCTTCTTCGGTGGCTTCGATGAGCGAGGTTGAGGTCGGGGAGTATCGTCGTAAGAGAGAGATCACGGTGGAGGGACGGGATGTTCCGAGGCCCGTTAGGGATTTCCGAGACATTGGCTTTCCTGGTACTTACGAATTTCTTAACTACAGAAACGTTTTTAGTGAGCATGATCCTTGAAATGAACACAATCAAGGAATGCAAATCAACTAACGCCCATGATTTTTATGCCGTTCTTTCATTTATTCAATAATCCTCTTGGTAACTTACAGTTTGGCTATTCCACTGTCATATTTTTTTCTTTTCAGATTATGTTATGCAAGAAATCACTAAAGCTGGGTTTGTTGAACCCACTCCCATTCAAGCTCAAGGGTGGCCAATGGCCATGAAGGGTCGTGATCTTATCGGTATTGCTGAAACAGGATCGGGAAAGACATTGGCTTATCTATTGCCTGCCATTATTCATGTGAATGCTCAGCCAATTTTAGGTTGAGAATGTCGAGCATTTTTTTTTATCATGTTCTGGTTTGATTTTAGGAAAATTTACATTGCTAGCACATAGTTCTTATGTATTTACGTATCTTTCATCTAACTTTCATATTAACATACATAAAAATTTGGTGCTTTAAATATACATATGAACAAAACGTGGTAAAAATGCTGTTTTTTTATTTGATATTAAAGATTTGGGTGCTATGTGTGTAAATATGAAAGTTTAGGCGTGAGATATGTAAATGCATAAGAATTGTGTGCTATGCATGTATATGCCCTTGATTTTATTGGTTATGAAATTTCATTGAATCTATGTATTTTTATTACAGCACTTGGTGATGGTCCTATTGTTTTGGTCTTGGCTCCGACACGTGAACTTGCTGTTCAGATACAACAAGAGGCAACTAAATTTGGGTCATCATCGAAGATAAAAAATACGTGCATATATGGTGGTGTTCCAAAGGGTCCTCAGGTTCGAGATCTCCAAAAAGGTTAGCTACAAAAGTTTCAAGGAAGATTTACATACATAGCACTTAATTCTTATGTATTTACATATCTAACACCTATTATTCAATTCTTGCATACATGCCACCTTCCCTATGAATGAAAACGTGTATCTCACTTTTTAAAAGTAAAAGTTAAAATGGTGGTGTTAAAATGGTGGTATTTCTTATGTGATATATAAAAGATTTGGGTGGTATAAATATAAAAATCAAAGTTTAGTTGTTAGATATGTTAATACATAAGCATTGGGTGGTATGTGTGTCAGTGCCCCAAATTTCTAATGCTTTGATTCATTAGTTACCAAATTTAAGCTTTTCAATATGTTGAAGCCTTGTGCTCAAGTGAAACATTTATTGAAATTTTAGTTATAGGGAGATTCATGAACATGCAACTGAAATCAACCCTGTAACATAAGAAAAGAAAGGAAAACGAAAAAAAAAGTTGGATTTTTGATATGAATGTCAATATTTGGATGGAATTTGACAAATGAAGCAGCCCGTTTTTTTGTAAATAACCAGGATTTGATGTTATGTTTGAAAATTTTGTTTTATTTCAGGATAGGCTTGATATGATTTCATGGCACCCTTAGTTGCAGGTGTCTCACATTGCATTACATACGCTCGCCCAAATTGATTAAACTTTAGAAAAGCATAGTTACCGATGAATCTTTTTTTTTTAGGTGTTGAAATAGTTATTGCCACACCAGGCCGGTTGATTGATATGTTAGAATCACATCATACTAACTTAAGGAGGGTGACATACCTTGTACTGGATGAGGCGGATCGTATGCTGGATATGGGATTTGAGCCGCAGATCAGGAAGATTGTCTCTCAGGTATATAATACATTGTTGAAATTTCGTTTTGTACTTCTGATATGCTATGTTTTTATGTTAATTTCATATGATAGAAAATAGGATAATTTATAACAGTCTTGCCCTTTTTTGGTATTTTTGAAATTTTGTATTTTTTATGCTTTATAAAAGTTCTTGTTTGGTTGATTGTGCTGAACTTTGGAATTTGAACTGACCTACTGAAGAGTTCAATTAAGTTAAGTTTATGCATATATGATTTTCTTTCACTACAACAATCAAGCTCATCTTGTGTGTGTGTGTGTATTTGCAACTTTCCTCACATGAACTCAATGATGCCTTGATCTAAATTTTGATCATATACTAGAGTAGTCCTGTTTTGTGAAATAAGCTTTGAACTTCTTATTCTTCTCAATCTTCAAGATGAGAATACGCTCTGTAATGCTTGTTTAGATATTTTAAACTGGCAAGTGTTGCTAGACTGTTCAAATTAATTTCGAAATTTAGGAGATTGAAGATAGATGATTGTTAAATTGGCGATTCAATCATTTTCTTTTTCAGTATTAATTATTTTCAATAAATGTCTCACTTTCTGTGCAATTAAACGTGGAGAGCTATTAGAGCACTTCTTCAGATTTGGAAACTGAATACCCTTTTTGGCTAGATGGAATGCCTAGTCCACCATGAAATTTGGTAAAAACTCAACAAGAAGTGAAGAAGAACCAGGGGCTTAATTTTTCATTATATGCTCATCTGTTTTGTCAGTAGGGGATTTATAAACAGCATGTTTTCTTCATCAAGAGGTGTAGATGGTAAAACGGTTGGTGACAGTTTTAATTCCTTTAATAAAAGTAGAGAATTGAGGGGGTTGATGCTGTTGTGGGAGCTTTGGATGATTGATATTTTACTTTCCATCATGCAGGATTACAAAGACGCTTTGGAAAAATTTTGATGAATTATCTGTTCAGAGTACTTGATGGGGAGAAAATATCCCTTGGAACTATTAACTTTCTCATCTATTTGCTTTGAGATAAAGAAGGATGACAACTGGGAAATTATAATCTTTAGGGTTTCAGAAGCTTTTCCGAAGTTGAGAAAAATTGAAGCATAATTGAGCCTGGCTGCCGCGTCATCTTGACTCGCTGAAGTAATGGATGATAGTAAAACACAATCTTGGCCAATTTCATCCTTATAAGTTTCTTTCTGCTATAGGAGGGCAAAGAAAAGTCTTATGGCTAGCCTCATTATTCAGTTTAGGGTCTATTTGGGGTAGCTGCAGATTATATTTAATTTGCTGATAAGCAAATTATCCTGACAATCTGATAATCTGCAGATTATCAGGATAAGCTGGCCTATTGTTTGGGGGAGCTTATGCAAAATAATTTATTGACAGTTGTTGCTGGATAAATGAACATTTTTTCCCTGTTCAGTGAAGTTGTTTGCAACAGAACTGTATGAGCACAGAAATAGATAAAACATAACACAAGTATTTCTGGAAAAGTTGCCCACCATTTCAACCCACAAATAACTAACATAAATATATATTAAGAAATGTTCAATTAAGCATTCAACAATATATATTAAAAAATCCTACTAAGCATTCAACAACCCCATCATCCTCTGGAATCCTCATCCGTTTTGAATTCAACCACTCCTCTGTGATCCGATTGCAGGTGGAGTTTAAATTTTGGCCGTCAGAGCGTTCATCCTGCCTCCTCTCCTCCATTTTCTTCAAAATTGTCCTCCTCCTCACGACACTGCTAATATCCTCCCCGCCTGAATCCATCATCGTCGTTCAGCTATCGTTCCCGCCCTCCACCGCGCAGACAAGGTCGCTGTCCTCCGCTTCTTCTCCAGCCCAACCCTCTCCATCTTTCGCGTCTCCTCCCTCCCTATCCATCTCGTCGGTCCCCACATGCTCCACCATGTTCTCTTCTCAACAATCCCTCCTCTCTTCTCTCTCGCATCATCCCTTCCTGCGCGGCAAGAGCGATCGATCGAGGCAAGAGAGATCGGAGGAGATGAGAGAAGAAGGGCGCAAGAGTAAAAATCTGCTCGACATGGGCCGCAGGGTCGATCCCACGGCCTCATCTATTAAGAAATTTCGTCCCGCGTTTTCGGGACGCCGATCCAACACCTAAACCAAATCTTGGTTCTTAGTTTTGAAATCTCCGCCCGCGGAGATAAGCTCCCCCAAGCGCACCCTTAGTCTATCAAATTATTTGGTGTGGCTTGGGGAGGAATGTTAGAATTGCTATGGCATCAATGTAATTTATGTTTATTCTTTGTGGTGTTTGCTATAGGGGAGTGAAACAAGCAATACTTTTTTTCTCTGGTTTTTTTGCTAGTAATTATGAGGGAGGGAGGAAATAAGATTACACTTTAGTAAATATCAATGTTTGGCTGTAATGATTGGATGTTATGCATGTAAATTCATGCATATATTTTTTGGACTTCGTATCTTGATTCCTCCAAATTGGTTCTCATTAGATGCCGAAATTATGATCAGATGATTTGATTTATCATTCACTAAATTTGATGACGAAATCAACAAATTCAACTCTCTATATACCCAGTGTAACCAGAAGTTCTGTAGGTCCAACTGACAGAAAGGTTTGCAAATTACAAAAAAAGATTTACATACATACCACTCAATTCTTAAGTATTTACATATCTAAACTTTTTAAAAGCTAAAATGGTGGTATTTTAAATGTAAAAATTGAAGTTCAGGTGATGGATATGTAAATCCATAGGAATTGTGTTATATGTCTGTGAATGGCCCAATAGAAAAGCAGCTACCTGATTGGAATGATATAGCATGAGAATGATTATTTCTCTGGAGTAGATTATGTCTAATTGAATTCAATTAACAAAAAAATCATTGAGATCAGTCTAATAATTTGCGTCATAGCCTTAAAAATTTTTGTAAACAATGACCCAAATTTAAACTTACACTCATTCATTTGATCTATTTGCATTCACATTATAAAAACATTGGTGCAACACGAGTATTTTGCATTTTTCCAACAGTAGGAGCTTCAAATCACATCTGCTTTATCTAACATGAACGTTTCCCAACGCACCACATATTTCATAAGTTATTGTTTCTTAAACCTAAAAAATTCATGTTAGGTTGTGCAGCCATGTATGTGCATTAATCCTTGAATGATTGAAATAAGTAAGCATTTATAGTTCATTGAATCACATTTGCTATGCTTTTGTTAAATCATCTCTTAGGGTACTGTAATGGGTTGGTTTGGAGTGCTTTTGGTCAACATCGTTCAGATAATCAAGTAAAACAAGACATGACTGTGAAAATTGGAAATAAATATTGATAATCTGATATAATCATGTTGATTCTGAAGGCGTGCCAGCTACCAAATAAGATATGATTTATTTTGTCGTTAATTTGTAAGGGAGTTGTGCGAGGTTGCTGAAGACAATATTGATGTGTAATTTTACTTGAGTTTAAACATCCTATAACGCTTTCCATGAATGAGAAATGGCATTTACAAAAAAGCATGTAGGGCGTTACTTTGCTTAGTTGAGAATGATGGCATCATACTGCATCTGCATTTTACAAAAAAGGGGAAAATTTACATACATACCACAATTCTTTTGAATTTACATATCCAGTACCTTAAGTTTGATGCTTACATTTATGACACCTTGATCCTATAAACCTATGCATAAAAAGGTGCATTTGACTTTTAAAAAGTTAGTACTAAAGGTGCTTTTTATGTGATGTTAAAAGATTTGAGAGGTATGCATGCAAATATTAAAGTTTAGGTGTTAGATATGTAAATATATAAGAATCGTGTGGTATGTATGTAAATGCCCCAAAAACAAGCTACTTGATTGAATAATAGAAGAAAACTTTTGATTACGTGCATTATGGTTTTGTGGGAAGGAGCTGGCCGTAGTACTTTAACCGGGGGGAATTCAGGTTATGCATTGGAGTTGAAAATGAAGAGAGTCTCTTACTGCTTCTTTCAATGGATTTAGTCGGGACTTCTGTATGGCATTTTCTAAGATCTAATAAAGCAGATTGATTTTCAAAGTAGAATTACTAGTTGCAAACTTGGCTGAGAAAGTTAGAGGGCTGATTTTAGGCTGACAATCAATGGTAAAATTTTTGCCAAAACTTATGAAAGGAATTCAAATTTGAGCTTTGCTTGTGCTAAGGCATTCCACAATAAGCAAAGCTCATTGTTCGAACGTGATTGTTTTGAGATGTCAGTAACGGTTTGTTAGGACATCACCGTTAAATGGTGCATTGTAACGTATAGCATATTTATGGTGAAAAGTTGGTATTGATTGACTAGGATGTAACTTGTAAGTGATATCTACTTAATCCTACTGTGATAAATTATATGGATTTATTAGATTTGAATCTCAAATTAGATTTATTACATGAAATTTGAAAATTTTGAATGGAAGACTAAGTGAATTCTGAACACTATAAAAAAGAATAAATATTATATATTTGCAAGCAACTAAATGGAAAAAGGGAAAAAAATCTATGTACATTTAAGAGGTTAACAATAGAATGAAATTTTGATATTAATTATTATAGAGTTTAAAGATAAAGTTGTTACGTTGAATAGAGTTATCTATTGGTTATGATAATTATTGATAATGATATGATAAATATGATTGGTGCTTGTACTCCTTATGTTGGATTAGAAGATAATTTTAGAAGGCAATTATACCATGTACTTAGGTTTTGTTCGTTTTAAGAGTGTAAATTAATATAAATACATTGTTTTTCAAGTTTTTAGGCATTTTTTATGAGGTAAAACAATAAAAAAAGTATTTTTGTATAGAATTTATGATATCTCCAAAGGTCTTTTTGTATATGAATTTGAAATTTTTCCAAGTTGGCTGACTTTTAAATTGCCCATGTGATCTCATCTTTCTCGAAGCCATATTTGGATCTACCGGCCACTCGAATTTGTTCACCGTGCCCTCTTGGCTATCATCGTTGTTTTTATCACATCCAATGAAGCTATTATCTTCGTATT